CTTATCCATGAGATACTTCCTAAAGTCAGCTTCGTATCTTCGATACTTCTCAGCATACTCATCGCTATCCAGATACCTAAGAATGAAATTGGTATTTGTGAACATTCAATTTTAGGTTCTTCAATTGCACCACAAAGAATGGAAATTTTCAAAATTCATGAAAGCAAAATTACTTGTGAAAAGATGGTTCTTCGTCAACCAATTGATCTGTTAAAATTCCGTTGCTATTCACAATATCCATCATCTGCACTAAAATCAGAGTTTTATAGATCGTGTAAATTACTCTGTGAGAGAGCACAAAGAGCGGAGAGAGTACCGTAATTTGTGGCGCCGGAGAGGGAGGAGCGGCGGAAATGAGTTCAGAGATGACTGGAATCTCATGCGGCGGTGGCTGCTCCACCTGCGGAGGCCGAATCGCCGGAGATGTAGCACTCTCGCTAGTCTTACGTTTTCAGTTTTTTTTTATGAAATTTATTTTTGAAAACTCAATCTATTGACGGTGACTATGATTGTACACTATCTTTGGTGTTTTTTTGTCAACTTTTTATATTAGAATCAATTTATGAAGACTAGGTTTTTTTCTTTTATATACTTCTATATTAAATTCATTTTTGTAATTTGAAATTTATTAATTTAAATATAAAATATTATATATTTTCCCACATAATTAAGTAATTTTGTGTCAAAAAACATTTCCGCGTAATCGGTTGCTTTTTTTACTTTCGGAATTTGATCAATTTAGTACGATATTTGTTGTGTGTATATGTATATACTAAATTTATATAAGAATAGGTAATTATATGCCTACGCACCGTTAAAAACTAAATTGTTGTATTGTAGTTTAGGTAGTATAGTTAAAAACTGCAAATTAGTTTGTAAGTGACCATTACCTCCACTAGATTGAAAATCCTCTGATACATTAAGATGAGATTATAGTTTGAAAAAATCTTCTAGAAACATCTCTAACCGGGAATATGCAAGAAGGTCACGTATGCGCAAAAAGAAGCAGATCGAAGAGCTGCAACAACAAGTCAAACAGCTCATGATGTTGAATCATCACTTGCATGAGAAAGTCATCAACTTCTTGGAAAGCAACCACCAAATCCTGCACGAGAACTCACAGCTGAAAGAGAAAGCCTCTTCCTTTCACTTGCTCATGGCAGATGTGTTATTACCCATGAGAATTGCAGAGAGCAATATCAATGACCGCAATGTGAATTATCTAAGAGGAGAAACATCAAACCGTCCCACCAACAGTCCCTTTGGTAAGTAAAATAAAGTTTCATGATCCACTCTTCTAGTTCTTGGTGTGTTTACTAAAAAAGTCTGTAGTACTATGATTGATGCATATATGTGACTAGTGACTACTACACTTACAATCACTTGAATTTGTATGTAGATAATGGATAACAACAATGCAGTAGCTATTATTGTTAAATATCTACTTGTTTCACATGATTGGTCTAAAGAAGCAAATCAACTTAAGCAAAAGGTTCAACAAACATTGTTAACACCAAAAACAGAACAAAAAAAACTAAATGGGCATATCTGGTTTCTTGCCAACATCACAAGTGTCCTCTAAGACAGTACCTCCATTGGGGATTTCACCATTGGGTATCTCTGCAGAAGCTGAATCAATGACCTCTTCTTGTTCTTCTTCTACTTCTTCTACCTCTCCTACTTCTCCTACTTCTTCAACTTCTTCTTCAACCTCTTCTACTTCTTCCATTTCTTCTACTTCATCTTCTTCTTCTTCGATGCATTGTGGCGGGTCTAGAAACGAAGCATCCGGGTCTGCATACCAACGTGCACATGGCCACCTAAAAGCAATGACCAAAACCCAAGATAAACAGTATTATCATCCAAAAATACAAACACACAGTCGAAAACTTATGACAAAAACCTCTGTTTTATACACCAATCTGAAAACTTACACGCTTGAACAAATGGTTTCACCATCAATTGTTGTTGTCTCCTCATATTCATCCACTGAAACAAAAACAACAACACCCAAAAAAAGATCAATTTTTTAATGAAATCTTAACCACAAGAACAAGTACAACAATGAGACTAATAACCTTGAGAGAAGTGCTTATCCATGAGATACTTCCTAAAGTCAGCTTCGTATCTTCGATACTTCTCAGCATACTCATCGCTATCCAGATACCTAAGAATGAAATTGGTATTTGTGAACATTCAATTTTAGGTTCTTCAATTGCACCACAAAGAATGGAAATTTTCAAAATTCATGAAAGCAAAATTACTTGTAAAAAGATGGTTCTTCGTCAACCAATTGATCTGTTAAAATTCCATTGCTATTCACAATATCCATCATCTGCAATACAATCAGAGTTTTATAGATCGTGTAAATTACTCTGTGAGAGAGCACAGAGAGCGGAGAGAGTACCGTAATTTGTGGCGCCGGAGAGGGAGGAGCGGCGGAAATGAGTTCAGAGATGACTGGAATCTCATGCGGCGGTGGCTGCTCCACCTGCGGAGGCCGAATCGCCGGAGATGTAGCACTCTCGCTAGTCATACGTTTTCAGTTTTTTTTAATGAAATTTATTTTTGAAACTCAATCTATTGACGGTGACTATGATTGTACACTATCTTTGGTGTTTTTTTGTCAACTTTTTATATTAGAATCAATTTATGAAGACTAGGTTTTTTTCTTTTATATACTTCTATATTAAATTCATTTTTGTAATTTGAAATTTATTAATTTAAATATAAAATATTATATATTTTCCCACATAATTAAGTAATTTTGTGTCAAAAAACATTTCCGCGTAATCGGTTGCTTTTTTTACTTTCGGAATTTGATCAATTTAGTACGATATTTGTTGTGTGTATATGTATATACTAAATTTATATAAGAATAGGTAATTATATGCCTACGCACCGTTAAAAACTAAATTGTTGTATTGTAGTTTAGGTAGTATAGTTAAAAACTGCAAATTAGTTTGTAAGTGACCATTACCTCCACTAGATTGAAAATCCTCTGATACATTAAGATGAGATTATAGTTTGAAAAAATCTTCTAGAAACATCTCTAACCGGGAATATGCAAGAAGGTCACGTATGCGCAAAAAGAAGCAGATCGAAGAGCTGCAACAACAAGTCAAACAGCTCATGATGTTGAATCATCACTTGCATGAGAAAGTCATCAACTTCTTGGAAAGCAACCACCAAATCCTGCACGAGAACTCACAGCTGAAAGAGAAAGCCTCTTCCTTTCACTTGCTCATGGCAGATGTGTTATTACCCATGAGAATTGCAGAGAGCAATATCAATGACCGCAATGTGAATTATCTAAGAGGAGAAACATCAAACCGTCCCACCAACAGTCCCTTTGGTAAGTAAAATAAAGTTTCATGATCCACTCTTCTAGTTCTTGGTGTGTTTACTAAAAAAGTCTGTAGTACTATGATTGATGCATATATGTGACTAGTGACTACTACACTAGCAATCACTTGAATTTGTATGTAGATAATGGATAACAACAATGCAGTAGCTATTGTTGTTAAATATCTACTTGTTTCACATGATTGGTCTAAAGAAGCAAATCAACTTAAGCAAAAGGTTCAACAAACATTGTTAACACCAAAAACAGAACAAAAAAACTAAATGGGCATATCTGGTTTCTTGCCAACATCACAAGTGTCCTCTAAGACAGTACCTCCACTGGGGATTTCACCATTGGGTATCTCTGCAGAAGCTGAATCAATGACCTCTTCTTGTTCTTCTTCTACTTCTTCTACTTCTCCTACTTCTTCAACTTCTTCTTCAACCTCTTCTACTTCTTCCATTTCTTCTACTTCATCTTCTTCTTCTTCGATGCATTGTGGCGGGTCTAGAAACGAAGCATCCGGGTCTGCATACCAACGTGCACAAGGCCACCTAAAAGCAATGACCAAAACCCAAGATAAACAGTATTATCATCCAAAAATACAAACACACAGTCGAAAACTTATGACAAAAACCTCTATTTTATACACCAATCTGAAAACTTACACGCTTGAACAAATGGTTTCACCATCAATTGTTGTTGTCTCCTCATATTCATCCACTGAAACAAAAACAACAACACCCAAAAAAGATCACTA